GACTTTCCCTCAAACAGATTGCCGACGCTGTTCATGCTACTGTCGCAAAATGTCCGAGTCCACAAACGTGAAACGAATAGCTTGGGTATACATTTGTTTTTCAGAATATAACGAGTACCTCGGGTGGAATACGAACTATGGGGAGTTTTTAACACTCAACAAGCAGAAAATGATCCCATTTGCCCAAAAAAGCTTCAAAAGCTGAGACGTTGCATGAAGTATGTGCAGAAACGACTTAGCCGGTTGTATGTCTCAAGTGCCCTAGATAACTTCTAATCTTTATGGATTTTGGACTTTTGCTTCCTTAAACTGTGGCTTGGCCGCAATATGACTCCATAATTCGATTTCAGTTTGTTGCGAGTTGGCTGACTAGTCAGTTAAACTCTGCTGATAAATGAATTTCGTTTGATTCAGGTTTCTGGCGAAACGTGACATTATGGTAATCTTTTCAAAAATGTGGAAGGTAATTCTGTGCTTACGGTTACGAGACCAATGTCAGAGACAAGAACTGCGAAGTAACATCCATAACGGAATGATCCCATTTGCGGTGCAGAATAATTCCGTTATATACAATCGATCTTCACAGGCCGTAGAATACATAGAAGATGCAGCTGGATCGTGAATGGCCGGGAGCAGTCGTCACCATTACTGGTGAACGTTGTTTAACCTCTAGGCCAATTGGTGAGATGTGCACAGTGGAACGCATGTTCGTGCCTTCGGACCGTAAATTCGATGGTACTAGCGTAACGCCCCACGACCTATATGGGATTTTTTGGATGAGGAGAACTTTTGGTGCGCGGGCCTAGGATGGTGATGGTTGAGCAGCGTGTCGGCGAAAATGGCCGGTGTCCTCTCCTCTTACTACCGTAGACCCCCTTCCCACAACTCGCCGTAGCGCTCGCATCTCTCACTCTATGTTGGCATCTCCCTCGGCCCTCCCCTGCAGTTGTCCACAGTGCTGCGTTCTCCAACGGTTGTTTAGCTGACATGTCAGTGCTGCCTTACCATCCAGACAAGTCACTGCCATATTGTAACTCATTCTGTTTGTATAATTAACTACTGTTGTATGTATTCCCAATTTCCATCTCTTCCCATTATACCTTATTGCCTACCTAACGTTTCTTCTCCTCTTGTGTATGGGTGAGTGATACGATATGTTAACGGCCGTATTCAAAGTTGCTTTGGCCAGTATCCCGTTTTCAGTGCTTCGCTACCTGGTTTGTGCTATCCTTGACGTTCTCGGGCATTAAAATTTATTTTGATCTTAGTAAAGCCTTTGATAAAGTGCCACATAAAAGACTCTTGGTTAAATTGGAAGCTATGGGAATTCGCAGTCCACTAATAGACTTTCTCAGGTCATACCTGTCTAATCGTAAACAAAAGGTTTTGGTGGGATCTTCACTTTCCAGTGAAAGTCCTATTGTAAGCGGTGTCCTACAAGGTACCGTTTTAGGTCCTCATTTGTTCTTGCTTTACATAAATGATATTTCAGCCGCAGTTAAACATTCTCAATCATTTATTTATGCCGATGATCTCAAATGTGTATATTCTTTTAAAAAATCTACGAGTCTTCATTGCCTGTAGCAAATCCATGCTGACTTGCTTGCTCTCTCAGCTTGGAGCTCAAAATGGCTTATGGAATTCTCTCCGTCTAAATGTCGTTATATGTGTTTTGGACCTGATAGGCTACCCCAACCTGTGGTCTTTCAAGGAACACCTATGACTGAATGTACCACCATCAAGGATTTAGGTTTAAGCTACACTAGTAATCTTGATCTCTCGCCGCACGCTGACAGAATTACAGCCAAAGCTGCCCAGATTTGTGGCTTTATTTCTTACAATTTCTATCTTCCTGAAATTAAATTAAGGCTCTATCGTATGTTTGTACTTCCCATTCTCGAGTATTGTTGCCCATTCTTTGGTTTGATGAATGAGGCTAGTCGTTTAAAAATTGAAAATGTCCAAAGACGTTTTTCAAAAAAACTTTTAGATAGCGAACATCCCAATATCTCCTACTCAGATAGGTGCCAACTAACTAACCTAAAATTTTTATGGGTTCGAAGACTAGAAGCGGGCTTCTGTCTCCTCTTTCGCATTAATCATAGTTCAAATTTCCCTCGGATTTCAACACTTACCCCTAGTAGTCGCCCATACAATCTTCGCAACTCGTCTCTAATTATACCTCTTCCAGCGTCCTCCACCTCTAAGCGCTCCCTTTTTTTCGCTTCCAGGTATACTTTCCTCTGGAATAACCTTCCAATAAATATAAGATCTTCAGAAAATCTACACACATTTAAGAGAAGGCTACGCCTTTATCTGAATACTGACTCAATTAAACTTTTATTTTCCTCATCCTTCCCAGACAACTTTTTCTATGACACTGAGAAAGGGCCACCGGGAATTTAGTATGCCGCCATTAAATTTCCGTATCTGTTCACATTTCCTTCCTTTGTGAGTAGTCTCGCTACCTAAGATCCCTCACCAGAAATGTTAATTATTTCAATTTTTTAGTTCATGCATCGTGCCCTCACAGAATGGACGCCATCGATGCTCTTGGCGAAGCCTTCTATATTAGCCGTATACTAGTAATCTGGTCGCATCTCCTTTGCCCTATCCTCGGATGGACTCTGATGAATGTAACAGATCGCATCTGGGTTCTTGTCGCCTCGAGACTGGTTGTCATCGTGCCCTTACTGAATGCGCTCCATCGGCGGTCTTGACAAAGCCTTCTATATTCGCCATATACTAGTAGTCTGGTCGCATCTCCCCCCATGTTCGGATGGACTCGCTTGAATGAAACTGACCGCATCTGGGTTCTTGTCGCCTCGAGACTGGTTGTCATCATGCCCTTACAGAATGCGCTCCATCGGCGGTCTTGACAAGTCCTGACCGACCCGCCTACGTACCATTTTATGAAATCCGTTACACAATGCCATATACAGCTGAAATCTATTTCGGCCATGTTGATGTCGGGCTTTATTCCATTTTGTACCGCCACATGCAGGCCAGTCCTCCCTTTTTTCTGATGCTATTTTTCTGAGGGGTTTTTTTCTCCTGTTAAATTACTACAATCATTTTTAAATTTTGCTTTGGAGTTTTTTTTTTCACCCCTCGTTTTTTTCATTTTCATTTTGCTTAACGGACTTCTAATCTCAAAAACTATGCATTGCACTTTGTGCAGATTTTGCCTACGTCGTCTAAAATTTGCATGTAAACTTATTTTTACTTGCTTTGATGGGACCCCGACGGGTCTTTAATAAAAATAATTGAATTGAATTGAATTGGTACCTGGTTTGTGACTGCCGTTTGCATGGCTAAGAAAACTGGCGTCGATGTGGTTGATTTTGCGTAGACTGGATATTATCAATGGCAGAACAAACCCGGCTGACCTGGGTGTACAAAAGGTTACTGGGTCCTTTAAGTCTTCGTAGTCACTGCCGTGTAGTCCATTTTTCGCTTATGGGTGAAATGATTATGGTGTGCCTCATTGAGAGTTGTAACAGCAGGACGACGACTTCAGATATGGAGTTTCGCGCCTTGACCT